AAAAAAAAAAAAAAAAAAAAACAATAATCCTGACGGCCGTTAGAACTTCTTGCCAGCAAGAAAAAGTGAGCGTTAGTCATAAAACTTCTAAATTGATACAATAGATCTCTTCATGCTGACAAGAAGTCTAACATCTTCAGTCTACAATGTTTTTATACGTATTTTCAAGAAAATCGTGACCGACACGGTTTTTGTCGTCACGATTTTATTATGAATAAAATAATTTTTGTATAATAAAATGCTTTTTTATACTGCATTATTAATTTATTTCTTTGCACGGTTGCAGTAGCGAAGCTAATATTGAAAAATTTAAAAAGTATTAACATTTACTAATCTTCGATTCGCCGGTGACTCCCATGGCATTGAACGTGTTAACCATAATCAATCGCGGCGATTGACTTTTCATCAGCATGGAAAAGTGGGATTTACCGAATAACTTCTTCATGCTAATAAAAAGCAAAAAAATACTAATGATGAGATTTTTTAAAAATATAAGATGCTCTATAAAACTTCTTTAGATGATGCTAAATTTCGTATTTTAGACAAGGTAGGCTAAAAATATCCACTTAGTTCCATTATACACCACCATTAGAGCAATATCAATATAGAAGAAAAACATAAACTTAACATTAAGGATTCACTATCTTACATCCCACCAATTTACCAGAAACATTTCAAGACTCAAAGTTCCCAATTCCGAAGGATGAGAAGAAAATCAGAGACGATGAAAATTAATTATTTAGAAACGTAATTATAAAACGTGAATCGATAGATTTGATTTGAATTTTTTTTTTTTTTTTTTTATAATAAAATTCGTTGCAAGTCAGTTTCAAGGCATTCAGTTAATCCAAGTGATTTCAAGCTTCAAAAATTATATTCCCTTGCAAAGCAACTAAATTCTTATCTCAAAAGATCAATGATTATTTCCTGAAAAATTTCTATTTCATAGTGTGGAAATATTCTCGAATTTATTCAAACGAAACCTTTTAAATATCTCGAAGTCTTCGAGTCAGGAAAGCATGCTTCAAGGTTAATTGTCATCTTCTGTGGAACAAAGATCCACGGTCTCGTAGTCTCACAGAGAGAAAAAGAGACGACGAGGCAAGCCTTTCTCTTTCTTTTCCATTTTCTTTTCCACGTTCGTGAAGAAAAATAAAACGAAGCGTGATACTGCTAGCCATGATGTGAAAAGGTCACGGTCTAAGAGGAGGAGGGGAGGGAGGGGGAGGGACGATAAAGATTTTCTGTCTTGTAGAGACAACGTGCTTTGAATACACATGGAAAATAATACGTACATTTTTGACGATTAACAGTTTATATAAAACTTAAAATTTTTTGATTTAATCATTACAATGAGACTTTTTTTAAATTGCTATCTATATAAATGTAAATACCTTTATGTACAGGTGCGTGTATAACAATAACCCATATTTGCTATTAATTAATTTTGTAATTTCCTTAAATTTGCAATTTAACATTTTATTAATATAAACTATAATTAAAATTAGTAAGAAAGTTAAACATGATAAACATGAATGTGAAAAAAATTACTATTAGAACTACAAAAATATTGATTTTTAAGTTTATCTTATATGAAATGTAGAATTTTTTTATTAACATTATTTTTTTTTACAATTACTATATACTTTCACATTATCAATAGATTTGATATTAAAAACATAAGGTAGATGAAAGGAATTAGATTGTTGAACTTTGCTATTTCATATATAAAATTTCACTTCAATACAAATCTTATTATTATAGGTGGTATTGAATAAATAAATATTCATATTTTAAATAAATATTTCACATTTTTTTAAATCAATTATAATAAATATTTTACTGCAATTGAATTTTCTCAACAAATAAACTAAAGAGTAAAGAACAATTGTAAATAAGATAAACTGCTTAAATACATAAATAAGTAAAAAGTTATTGAAAGATGTTGAACAAGCAAACATCTTCTTTAATGAGAAATTAATATTAATGTATGATGATATAAAAATACTATTTATAATTAAAAAAATCAGTATATATTACTTCAAAATCCTAAAAAAATGGCAAAAAAATGAGATTGGAATAAATTTTATGATTGACGACATTGAAAAAAATGATGATTTTTCGTAACAGTTATGAAATGGGAATATTCTTAGCTTTATAAATACTATAACTATCATAAATTTAAACAAAAATTTTGAACTGATAGAGACGATAACATGGTAAGGTTATTGTAAAAAATAATAAAAAATATCAGAATAAGTGACGAAAGAGATGAAATTGAATAATAAATAATTCTAACTATTTTAGTAGAATTTTTTATAATATTCAAAATCCTGACCGTTAAAATTATTGAAAATTCATAAATGTCGTATATCTTGTACGTATTATTTTATATAGTACACTGTGTATATTATACTCAACATTACGTACGTAAATACAGAAATACGAAAAAATCTGCTGGAACTTGGTTTACGAACGTTATGAAAAGAAATGTAAATATGTACGAGCCTCATCTAGTAGGACAAAGTGAGATATATGCCACACGTACATTTTCAAATCGTCGTCAGTTGTTGCTGAAGCGTTAACGACAATAAACGTATCGATTAGGCAGTGTGGAGCTCGTTACTTTCAATTCTACTTGAAAACTGAGTCGAGCGAAAAACGCTCTAAACCGAAGCTCTAGATCGAGCTCTGAATTCTGTTGTTTCGATTTGAGAGATTTCCAAAAACTGTGAAATTAGTCAATCGAAGTCGTGTAGTGCCGATAATTACAGTGAAGAAAAAAACAATTTAATGTAGCTCCGTGCTGCAGAGAGCTTCCAACTCTAAAAAGAGTGGAAGAGAAAGCAAGCCTAACGATAAAAAAAAAAAAAAAAGTATTACATATTTCAAAAGATTGTAAGCATTTAAAACGCTAACTCTCTTTAACATCGTAACACAAAGAGAAAAAGTTCGAT